CGTAAGGAGGATAGAGGCCACAGAAATGAGAATGATTCGATGGGCATGTGGTAGGACTCTGTGGGACATGACACTAAACTCTGCAATTTAGATGTCCTTGGGGGTGGTGTTTGTATTCGAAAAATTAAGGGAGGGAAGACTACGGTGGTTTGGGCATGTCCTTAGGTGACAATCGTTGGATGCGATCAGGAGGGTAGAGTAGATTATAGCCGATGGTGCCAAAAGGAGAGAAAGACCAATGAGGAAGTGGGTAGACTGCTTGAGATATAATTTGAAGGATTTAGCCCTTACCGAGGACATGACCTCTGATAGGAAAGTATGAAGACTTAAGACCAGGGTAGCCGAGTAGTGTGGGTCACAGCCATAGGGTGTAGCATTCATGTCTTCTTTTTAATGCCTTTGTAGTAATTTCCATGACTTCTACTTTTTATACGTTTCTGTCATTGGAATTTATTAAGGCCTAGAACTAGGGTAGCAGAGTAGTGTTGCATTAGTTTAGGTTTTAACCCATTTGACTTTATTCCTTCTGTAGCTTGCTATCGCTGACTTCTGTGTATCATTCTCTTCATGTTTCCTCTTTTTAAATTTAGTCAGGTCTTACGTTACTGTCTATATGTAGAGATTTTTTCCCAGGGATTTATTTGCAGGGATTACTTTCCATTTCAGACGTGCATATAAAGACTGCATAAGAAGACTGTTCAACTATGTATTTATTTATTTATTTATACATGCATTGTATTTTATTTTATTTTTAATTTTCTGACTACCGGAGGTCTTCCACGGGAAGCTGCTCTCAACCTGGCGTTGGGGGCAACCTACTACCCTACCTCCCCTTACCCCATTGCATATGGGAATATGGTTTTGTTGTTGTTGTTGTTGTATTAGAGAAACAACCCAATATTTTTCATAGGTGGCTAACCCTCTTTACTTACATAGGTTATTTCATTATGTTTATCTCATCATAAACACCCTAAAATCAGGCTATGAAATAATTAAGAGTCTTTTATAACAACTCAACCTGTCAAAGGTTATGGTGATTTTCTTCAAGTTCATTATAAATGAAACACCCAAACTCTGGGATAAGAAATCATTAAAAAATAAATATTCAACCTCATTAATCGATGAATTCGATATGTCCTTCTCACTAGGACCATCCAAACTCTTGAATTTGTATTCGTTAAGAGTTTTCATAAAACTCAACCTTTCCAACGGTAAGTTCATCTTTTCTTTCTCAGTTAGGACTACCCACTCAACTCGAGGTTATGAACTTATTAAGAATAGATATTCATCAAAAGTAGGTAAATTCATCAAGTCTTTATCACTAAGACAACCCAAAACCTAGGCTATGAATTTATTAAAAGCAATCTAGCTCATCATGTTCATATACATTATTCTTCATAAGGATAGGTAGATAAAAATATACACTATGAGTCTTTCCATGGCTTTAATTGACCACATTGAACTTAGATAACTAAGTTGGGTATTCACTAGGGGTGTTTATCGAGCGATTCAATCATGAGTTAGGCAGTGCTCGACTCGTTAAAAAATTTTGTTGCTCGAGTCGTGCTTGTTAAGAAAATTTGTTGCTCGATTCGTTGCTCATTAAGAAAATTTGTTGTTCCCCTCGTTACTCGTTAACCTTACTGAATTTTTATTTTTTAACTATAAGTAAAATCTACTAATACTATATAGAACCTAATATAAATATAAATTAACAAATTTAACAAAAACATTATCAAACGAGTGTTTGAAATAAATTCAAAGTCTAAGCACCAAAATAACAATCCATAAATATACTAAAATAATAATTAAGTTTGATTTTTTGATGTAGTAAAATAATAATTATTAATTTATTATTTTATTATTTTATTATTTTTAACTATTTATTAAAAAAATAATAGATTAGTAATTTATCATCTTTTTTATTATATATTAGTAAATTGGTAATTTTTTGAATAAAATAATTTTAAATATAACTACTAAAAAGTTATAAAAAATTAATGAGTTGCTTGTGAACTTATCTAGCCAAGTTGAACTTTGGTTGAGTCAACTCGTTAAAGTCTCGAGTTGAGCTCGAGTTCAAGTTGAGTCAACCCGAGTCGAGCTTTTAATAAATTTTAATCAAGTCAAGTTTGAGCTGCTCAGGAGCTGCTCAACTCATTAAGAACCCCTAGTATCCACCATGAATTTCTTAACCAATGGGCTTTAAACTCATCCCCCTCGAAGAATCTATGACCAATTTCCTGCTTAACTTTTTTGGTAAGCTATCTTCTAGGTTCATTTCCGACATCACATACTCTAAAGAGATTACTCCATTCCTTATTAAGTGTCTAACATATTCATGTCTTATGCAAATGTGTATCTTCTTACCATTGTAAGTTTGTTTCTTATCCACACATATTGCAGCTTATGAATCACCCAATAAGGAGACTGGAGGAGTCGATCTTCCTTACAACAGAATTTCTACTAATAAATTTCTAAGCCACTCGGCTTCTTGCCCAGCTAAGTCAAGAGCTATAAACTCTGACTCCATTATGGAACGAGTAATACAGGTTTTCTTTGTAAACTTTCATGAGATCGCTACTCCACCTAAAGTAAAAACATAATCTCTCGTAGAGCTTAGCTCATCATTATCAGAAACCCAGTTGGTGTCACAACATCCTTCTAAAACCGTAGGATAGACAACAAACTCAATTTTCCAATCTATGGTACCTTAAGATACTTCAGTAAGCGTTTAAGAGCAACCCAATGTTCACTACTTGAGTTATAGGTATATTTACTAAGTCTGTTCACATCATAAGCAATATCAGGCCGAGTCTAATTCATTAAGAACATTAGGCTTCCAATTATTTTAGCATATTTTCTTTGGGAAACATTACTTCCTTTATTTTTAAAGAGATGAATGCTAGAGTCATAATGAGTTCAAACAGGGATGACATCAAAACTGTCAAATTTCTTTAACACTTTCTCAATAAACTCATAAGATTATATCAACTTCTCCCAAATCAGTCATCTTAAATTTAGCGAATAAGAAATTTTTTGTTTTGTTAATAGACTCAACGTTAGTACTAAAAATCAACATGTCATCAACATATAAACTAATGATGAAGAAATTAGTATAAAACATCCTCAAATACATACATGCATCAAAACCATTGAACAACAAAACCAAAACTAAGAATAGTTTTGTGGAATTTCTCATACCACTGTTTAGGAGCTTGGTTAAGGCCATAAAGTGACTTTTTAAGTCTACACACTCTGTCTTCCATGTCAGGTGCCTTGAAGCTAGGAGTTTGCTTCATATAGATATCCTCATCTAGATCTCCATTCAGAAATGCAGTCTTTATATCCATTTTATGTACTTGCAACTTGTGAATAGAGTCTAGTGCAAATAATGTACGGATCGTTGAGATTTTCGTTATGAGAGATGCCAAATTTTGAGTGAACCCTTTAACAACTAGCCTTGCCTCGTACCTCTGGATTGAACCACCTGTTCTGAGTTTCTTCTGGAAGACCCATTTGTTGCTGATAGTTTTAAATCCTCTAGGGAAGTCAACTAATTCCCAAGTATGATTAGATATTTTTTATTCTAGTTCATCAATAATAGTGTTTTTCCAGAAACTAGCATCAATGGATCTTATATCTTCCTCATAAGTCCTAGGATCCTTATCTAACAGAATGACTTGAGCTATAGGATTAGAAATGAAGTCTAAACCATTTATCTAAAAAATAAAGAAAGTTATAAAATCTGGTCCAAAAGAGGTTTTAACTTTTTGTCTTTTACTTCTTCTAGGATCAAATTCAATCTCTTGATATGTCATAGCAGGTACACTAGAAGAAGTGGATAACATTTTTTCTATTTGTGTTTCTTCATTTAATTTAGGTTTCTTTAGAGGAAAATTATCTTCAAAGAAAATAACATCCCTAAATTCACAAATAAAGTAGTCATGTAGAAACATGAACATGTATGTGGTAATTTGTAACATACCCTATAAACATTGTATCAACAAATTTAGGACCAATGGTTGACTTCTTAAATTCTGGTAAGCCAACTTTAGCCAGATACCCCTACACTTTCAAGTATTAAAGATTTGGAGGATAGCCTTTCCACAATTTGTAAGGAGTATAATCTAATTTCTTGTGAGGTACTTTGTTCAAAATATGATTTGTCAATAGAATGACTTTCCCCCACATGTTATTCAATAATCCATAACTATCAACAATGAATTCACTATCTCTTTTAAATTTTTGTTTTTCCTCTCAGTTATACCATTATGTTGAGGAATTAGAGAGCCGAAGTTTCGTGAATTATGTCATTCTTCTCACACACCTCTTTTAAGAAATTTGATCCATATTCACCACATATATCGGATCTAACCTACTTAATTCTCCTATCTAACCGATTTTCAACTTCTTTCTTATAAATAAGGTAGAAGTTCTCAACTTCATATTTAGTTCTTAGGAAATAAACTTTTTTGTATCTTGAATAGTCATCCACAGAAGTGATGTAATAGTGTTTTCCTTTTTTGCTCTCAGTGTTTATAAAGTCTACTAGATCAGTATGTATAAGTTATAATAGTTCAGTATTTCTCTTAGAAACAGTCTTAAAGAGAGGGTTAGCATGTTTAACTTATACACAAATTTCACATTTGTTAAAGTTAGTTTTGTCTAGTTTATGAAAAATAAGCATTTTAATCAATTTTTTCAAAGAGTGAATATTCACATGTCCTAATCTAGCATGCCACATATCAAGAGTTTCAATAATGTAAGAAGAAGTGGTAGCTTTATTCTTATTAAGTTGAGTTTCTATGGTAAATAAACCCTCATTTTAAAAAAAAACCTTTCCAAACATAATCATTGTTTTGGGAAAGTACAAGTTTATCTGCCTCAAAAACTAACTTAATGCATGTCTTATTCAAAAGTCTGCCACTTATTAGATTTCTACGCAGAGCAGGTACATACAAAACATTATTCAGGGCTAAAGTTTTATCGGAAGTTAGCTAGAGTAAAACCTTGCTTTTGCCTAGCACTTCAGAATTGCTAGAGTTCCCCATGTACACATGTTCACCTTTGTCCCCATCCTTAAACTCGATGAAAAACTCCTTCCTTGCGTAGAAATGTCTAGAAGCTTCACTGTCCACGGCCCATTCAGCATTATTCTTTACCAGGTTTGCCTCTGAAACTACTGTTGCGATGACATTATCCCCATTGTTCTCTGCAACATTCAGCTGTGGTTTGTTCTCATTCTAGTTGTCTGAACGATGTTGACACTGGTAGGCTTTGTGGCTGACTAGACTGTACAAGTAGCACTTGACTAATTTTCCTTCAGCTTTGGGCTTCCCTGGTTTTTTAAAATTGGTGCCCTTATGAGGTTTCATCTTCTTATTCTCATTCCCTCTTTTTGTATTCTTTTTTAATTTAAACCCTGAGGCAGCACCAAACTGTACCAAGTTAGCTTTAAAGGATAATTGACCAATAGAGTTCGTAACATTTTCTTTCAAATGGTTAGCCTCCTCTATCTTCATATGGCCCACCAGCTACTCAAGTGAAATGTCGCTCTTTTTGTGTTTGAGGGCGTTGCGATAATCAGACCATGACTTGGGAAACTTCTCGATGAGGACGTTATATAACACCTATAGCCCATATATGTCTAATAATACAAGATTTCACATCAACTTAACTAACTTCTTTTGAACTTAAAGGCTTAAAAATTTCGTTTCATTTAATAATTTCCCCTTTTACTTTAAATTTTTCCTTAATCATAAAAATTTATAAAACATTGTTTGATCATTGAACACTAATCTGATTTTAGTCAGTAATTAGGCAGTTCAGTGTTGTTCATATCCAAGTACGATTGCGTAATACCGCTTGATTTTAAACCATTTAAAATATAACATTTATACTATTGACTCATAAATACGATTAATACTAAAATTAGGCAAAACTAACGAAAATAACCTTAATTACTATTACAAACCCTTTTAAAATAAATTTGATAAAGCAACCCAACAAATATAATGTACATACCACTAATAAGTCAAAGTTAGGATGTCTTATTGATATTGTCGTAGGTTTGAACTTGCATAAGATGCTGACAAGCTCCTTACTTCACGACCTCTACTTTATTCGAACCTACGCATGAAAATCATCACGCGCTAAGTAAAACTTAGTGAGGAAGAAATATAATTAAAGTAATGTAAACCCATAAATTTCATAAAAATATAAGAAACAAACTATAATTTAAATAAAAACATTAAACTCCAAACCGGGCTAATCAAGTCATTTATCCTTCTGAAAACCTGAAAAATCTTCATCTCGTGATTTTATCAAAAATCATGTAAGTCAAAATCGAATATCATAAATAACTTTTGTTCTATTCATTCGAACATATTTCAAAACTTTCTTTTCAACTATATGTTCCTTTCTTTCACATATTGTCATAACTTTCACATTTACTGTTATAGCCCAATGTATATGTAAGAGGATATAAGGTACGTGAGTTTAAGGTGCACACTAGGCACAACACAGTGTCGAATCATAACTGAAACTGAGATATGATGCACTTCAATGCAATCATAACCTGAATGAGCACCAACGGTGTTGAACATTGATACATGAATATATCAAAGCTGAACTGATAACTGAACATTGATACACGAATGTACCAAAGCTGAACTAATATGTACTCACTTAATGTCATGCCAAATGTACCTACGACTCTCAATGCAACATACAATGGGATTATACTTATCGTCATAGAATCATTTATTATTATGTATCTGATAACTATGAAATATCTAATCTTATAATTATCTGATAAATGTAAACATTTAGAATTTATCATCTTAAATATCATACTTGGGCAGTTCATACCCAAAATCATTTATAAAGCTTGATAAAACAAAATATTATAGAAATACTCCATACTAAAAATTTATAAACCATACTGAAAATTTATAAATCATACTGAAAATAAAATGAGGTTGACTTATCACAAGTCGTCCTCAAATATAATAGTAATCAAATAAACAAATTGGATTCACTTTAACCCTTTATTACTACCATTTTAAATCAAAATATAAGTCTCACTAAGCTTTAGATTTAAATCATTTACCTTCCACTACTTCCAATATACAACTAATCAAAATTCTATATTATGGAAGTTTTCACTACTATCAAACAAATATTATTATGTATTAATTAATATACTTAAAAATTATTTTGTTTGTACTAATGGAAACTATACTCGAATACGAGTCTAACCATATAAGGCACTCTGTCTAATTCCACTTGTACAATTTATAACGAATTTTCAAAGTTGATTGATAGAAACTATTTTGGCAGAATCTGATGCCCTGTTTTCTGACCTATCACCGATTAAAAATTCATATCTTTTTGTTTGTGTACACCTCTAAATTAATCACTGTCTATTTTAAACGAAGCTAGACTTATATATGAATCTAACAGTATAAAGATCATCCTCTAATCAATTCTTTATAATTTATGGTGAATTTCTAAACTCACTCTTCGAATTCTAATTTCTAAACAACTTTCCTTAATTAGCATCCTTAACTTAATTTCATAATTCTATAAGCTTAATAAATGAACCTTTAGCCTAGAATCACAATTCACACAACATTAGGACTCACTTCTTATCGGAGTAACTCCGTCACTGGCTCATCACAAGCCAATGTTTGTACGATAACACAAACACGAATTAAATACACTCACATTTGCTTTCCTGTCGAATCTCCTCCTCGATAATCTTCTCAATTCCCGCACTTTTTCCTTCTTTTTCGAGTTACTTAGATCACTAGATTTATTGAAATCTGACAACGTCATTTAATAACAAAATCCTTAAAACTTGTAAACTAGCCCTTTTTTCACTTTCAAGGTTCCAAATTGATCCAAAACAATCTCCAATTCACATAGAATACTTAATATTAATCCTAAACCATAAGAAAATTTTCAACATTCCCCCCTAATTTTCTTCATATGGTTAAACCTATCCAAGTACATAGAGCTTGCTTTTCATTCAATTTCAAGCATGAATTCAACTTCCTTACATCAAATTCATGCTATTTTATTCATTACAACATCAAATTAAATTAAAATCCAATATCTCTTAAAACCCTATCCATGGCCAAGTGATAAATAAGCACATACACATTATTTTGGTCATTACACAAGCTTTGGAATTAATCTTCAACACCACTAACATACAAATCTTTCATTAAATCCATAAACCCTAGTCATCAAATCTCAACATCCAAACATGTTTAGCAAGAATTTCTTATACCAAAAGATAGAGAATTGAATGTAGAACATTTTCCTATTTCACAACTTAGTCAAAATCCTTCTAAAATAGCTCAAAAATGGGAAAAATAAATTTTTTTCTCACCTTGGAGGGGGTTCACTGCAGCAAGCAGATGGAGAAAAAGAGTTCTTGATTTTTCTAGCAATCTTCATGATACACATGTCATTTAAACCAATTAAATTGAATTTAAAATTCAATTTATGAAAAATCTTCAAAATACCATTAATGAAACTTGATATTTACCAATTGACATTACAATATCTTCCATTAAAATATTCCTTGGTCAAAGATGAATCAACTTGGCTTTGACTTTCTAATTTGGCCATAAATTTTTTAAAATTGCATTTTAGTCATTAAAATTCCACTGTTTCGATCAAATATGAAATGTTACACTGTTCTGAGCTAAATTTCTTTGATCTAAAATATGGAATAATATTTCCAACTATTTCTAACATCCTTCAAATTTTCGTATAATTATGGTTCGATCCGATTATCCGTTTTCAATACCGAACTTTACCTTTTTATAGCTTTTAACATAAATCTCGTACCGAAAATCTGATTCCCACTAAAATCTATGTTTTAATCCAAACCGTTCATTAACATGCTAAAATATATAACTTTTCAAAATTACATTTCTGGTCCTTAGATTTTTAAACTTTATACTTTAGCCACTAAACTTTCAAAAATTTCATTTTAATTACTAGTCAAAATTTGGGGTATTACACGTTAGCTTGCAGTACTTTGCACATTTACATTCCTTCGGTAATTATGTCGAAGACCAAGTTTTCATAGTCATGGACTTGATCCATTATTGGTTCGTCATCGGTGATCTGGAATTTCAGCCACTCCCCAACAACGTACTTCTTGATGCTTGCATCATTAGTGTTGTAATTCTTCTTAAGTGTGTCCCATACGACCTTGGTTCTTCTTTGTTTGAGGAACATGTCAAAGAACTTGTTAGATATGTGGCTTAAGAGATGGCCTTACATCGTCTTTTTATATTTCTCATACTTTTCAACAACAGCAGTAGAAAAAAAACGGAGATAGCAACGGGCATGACCTCGTTACCAATAGCAGTAGCATCAACCTTAACTGAACTGGTTGCCGGTGTAGAGGGTGGTGGCTTCAGTAGCACGTAGTCTAAATCAAGCTGCTCGAAGAAGATTAAAATCCACTGGAACCATCTTCGATAATTGGACCCATTTAGTGCATCGAGCTTGGATAGTCAACTTGCTCAAAGGTGTCGATATTATTGCAGTAATGAATTTGTTTCTGAATTGTTGGAAATATGTGTACTATAAAATTACACCATTAGCACTGGCAGGAAAATTTAAATAAAATAGTTGAATATAAAATCTGAATTGTGTCGTGGTGAAACCACTACCTTAGAAACAAATTTATCCCGATGTGTGTAATCATTGCGATAGGCGGATCGTCCCCCAAGGTTAACATTGTCGCTCCGATAATTTGTACACCTGAAACTGGAGTGGACTACCGGTGGTACTACTCTTTGATAACACCAGGGAAAAAGAAGTTTTATAAAGCCTTTGAATGTTGAGAGGATTTGTGAGTGCTTGAGTGTGAGTTGAGAAACTAACATTGCTTCTCTATTTATAGGCTGAGCTCAAGGATGAAAACGTCCAAGAAAAAAATCAGATATAAATCAAATTTAATTTTTCATATTTTATCTCTAGTAACAACTGACTGTTATAATTTTAATTTTGCATATATCAAACAAGTCATTGTGGAGCCTATAAATATCAAAGTAGAATTATTTCTCATTCTTCTTTTATTTGCTCAAAAAAATTTTAGGACATGTCGAAGACATGTATTTCCACGAACCACAAGTCAGGAGCCAAAAGGTACGAGGCACAATAATATTTGTGTTGTATGTATTGATTAATTTCTGAAAGTTTTGCACTTGTGTTATACTCAGTGACATTACGATGTATTTGAGATATTGTTTATTTGAATATTATATAAAATTTTATTTTTTAAATATTTTAAACTCGCATTGAAATTATATTTTAATTTATCAAGTTCACACTAACTTATTATTATTATTTTAAAACAATATCAATTGAAATAATGTCATATATGCGGTGAAACTCCAAAGGATAATATTTTATACGTTTTTCATAAAAATAATTTTGTTATTTAACTAATTTTATAAATGATTTATATAAAGTGAATCGTGAGATAGATATAGTGAAATTTTGATTGTTTCAATACCTAATTAGCCAATAAGATAAAGATAATTTTAATTTTATAAGTCACAAAATAAAATTAATTTTAAAAGTTATACTCATAACGAATTCGAGATGGAAATAAGAATAAAAATTCTTCACAGATGAATGTTGAATTGACATCATAGGTGTGTTCATCAAGATATGATTTTATTTAAGTTATAGGCAAAAATTAATTTTTTTTATTCAGATCGTGCACATATTATTTATTGTATAAATTAAAGTATATTAAATTTAAATTTAATTTATTCGATACAGTAATTATGCACTAAATATAATAGAATGTTGAAATCAGATATGGTAAGCAACGGAATTAAATAAAAGGAAATTATAGCAATTATTGCAAATCAAATCTAATTACCGAATCTTTTGAGATAATACTAATGAAATAGAAAATGACGTATCCATGTTGTTTTACTGGCATTTTCCATGCGTGGCGCACAAAAGGACAACCACATTTATTTGAATAAGCACCGGCGACTTTATTTATTGAGCAAACTAGATCAACTGTCATCTTAAGTGTTATATTATTTATTTTATTAAATTCTTAATTTATCAATTATAATATTAAATTTTAATTTTCTTTTTAATTATATCATTGTATCATTAAATTGTTAACAATATGACGACGCGGTTGGCAGTTGAAGAAGTGTTTGACAAATGTCGATATAGATACCTCATCAAAACGATGTCATTTTGATCTGATTGCTAATGATTTAACAGTCTAGTGGTACAATTGAAATGAATATAAAAATTTAATATCATAATCGATAAAATTAAAAGTTCTATAGTATAAATAATACGATATCTCAAGTTTAGTGATATATGGGGTAATTTACCCTTATTTATAAATTAAGGTTACATTTTTTATTATAAAATAATATTTTATTTTGCATCTCTCAACCATATACAGTGTAATGATTGACATCAATAATAATACATCCAACAAGAAACAAAAGGCAACCTCATCCCTGAAATTGTATGACCCCAAAAAAAAGTTAAGATTAGAACATGGGTTGTTTTTTTTTTTTATACAAAATATAAAATAATATTTGTTGTATTGTCAATAAAGATCTTTCATATAATATAAAACATAAAAAAAGTATCTTTGAATTTTTGGCACCTAGGCTAGTGGACTTCAAAAGATATAGAAAACACGTCTTAAGGATTATGAATATCTAATATTTTTTGGGGAAGTTGTGAGTTCGTGGACTATTGACATGATTTCTAACGCATTCGCGTGATGAATTTCATTTAATTGTTTTTACCTAGTTTGTTAATATATATTAATAGTAATTATATTTCTGTATTTGGCCTTAATTTCAAGAGTCACTGTCAAATATTTCAAATAAGACTGAGAGAAAGGATGCAACCTAGATAAAATCATCTCATCCTCACTTATTTCTCTTCTACATCCTTTGAAGATAGAAAATATCGACATGACTAATGATTAATTCCTTATCGACTAGATTCTTCGTCCAACTTAAAAGAGAGGTCGTAATCCATTTAATCTCATCAACAATTTTTTTTTGCAAATGCTTCAAATCGAATTGGAGTAGATTATCTCTTACTTTGATCTTAACCAACTCGTGAAATTTTTAAAATCAATTCAAATTTATTTTGTCGTAAAAACTCAACCATCAAAAAACAAAAAATTAACCATTAAATAACAAAATATGAAACATATAAGAAAAGAGTTAAAAATCTAATCAAATAATTTAAAAAAAGTAAAAGATATAAATAAATATCATTATTGAAGATGAAAGATAAAAATTATCAACACTAAGACAAAAATAAATATAACAATAATGATATGTTGATAACTTATTATATCACAATTCAAATCCCGAACATTGAAATAAAAAACTAGTTACCTAATACCAATCCAGAACCCTGTAACTTCTCAGAGGTTATTTCATTTAAACGCTGCATCATCTCCTCTGTTAAATAATTCTTCCCATCACCAACTTCTCCATTTCTGAAGAAATGGTGATTATCAACTATAACATTCCCATGGAACTTTTGGACGATTGTTTTGTTCGATTCCAAACTGCTCAAATTCTCAAAGCTACACAGTTTCAATATTCCACTCCTTCACTCTCTTCCTCCAATGAAAAAGGGTGACCTGTAAATTCACCTAACCTTTTAACAACAGCAAAGGGCTCCTTCTTCATATCATCATACTTCAAGAACAATATCTTTTATGGGGTTTCTAAACATGCTTTCTAGTACCCTAAAACATAGTCCCAATAGGGTCCGTAATGGGATATCCCTTGACAAAAACAACTCAAACGCTTCCTCAAGTGACAAGGGTGGCACTAAATGTAACCCCCTCAGACCGATGCGGATATCCCGATCTGGAGTGTCACATTAGGCGACCGAAGCGACCTACTGTAAAAATAGCGTAAAATTTAAAACTTTTCTTAAAACATGTAAAATCACAAAATGATTTATTATTATTCAGAAATTAAATAGATTTTTCAAAATCAGATATAAAACAAAATACAATCTACATGCCCCCTAATCACATGTACCATACTCTGCAAACAACGCCAGAAGAGCTCCCTTACTGAATTCGATAGATGCACTGGTACAATTATTTTAACCTGCAATGGTGAGTAATAGAGTGAGCTTCGAAAAGCTCAGTAATACAGAACTACCAGATGATGCTACATGACATGCAGATAAATGGGAAGCCATAATTTCCTTATTGAAATAAACGTATACCAATTGCGGAATAATCTGGGGTTTCATTAGTAGTTCATCGAGTAGAAGCCATGAATCTTAGTTCATAAGAAACCTTTCATACTATCACGTTTTCATGAGGTCAAATAGGATGCCTAGTGTGTTCCATCAGTACGATAAAATCATAATATGTACACTAATCAAATGATAGTTCAGTAAAATCCCATAAACCATACTGTAGTGGAGCTTTTTAAACTCGTATTTTAAAACCATCTTACAAAGAGTTAACCTAAGGGAACATCTTAGGGGCTGAGAGCCCACCCAAGAAAGTTCGGGGCCACGGGGCCTACCTAAGAACATATCTTAGGGCCGCAGGGCCTACCCGAGAATGATCTCAGGGCCGCATAGCCTACCAAAGAGTCACATTAGGTCCATAAAAATTTTCCAGCTTGATCAGAGTTGTACTTTACAAATCTGTATCTCCAAGATACAATTCATACAATGATACAAATCCATAAGCCATCACCGTTAAGTCGGTGCATCCATAAAAAAGTAACCATAGATTTCAGTGTACCACATGTTAAAACAATAAAATAATTTTTCAAAATATAAGGAACACACTAGAGAATCCAAATATTTTTCAGATGCATTTCGTAGTTATCAATATGGATAACATGAATTTGTGCAATTTGATCGGATTCCAGGAATAAGATCTTATTGAAGAGAATCGATTTCTAACCGATCTAATCAGACATTTCATATTGATACTTTAGAATTCCACTAAGTTTCCATGTGGATCAGGAAAACGTTCAGGAACTTTTATACATAATAATTCTAAAGTCAGATTTACTGCGAGTGATTCCATTACCCAAACAATCAGGGGTATTCAGGAATATACTTTGAATTCATAGGATTTTATCCCAATTGAACCAAATGAGGTATTTCGAATATTTTCCTTCTGTGTTACTTGCGTTTTCAAACATGACCGAAGTGATTTTAGATGAAAATATAGAATCGTAGATTCAAGTCACCTATAATCTATGACTATCGATCGTATTATCAAACAACTCGAGTTACACAACTCTCAAACTAATGTATGCCAACAAGTCAATTCATTATCCTTCTAGTGTATTCACTCTTTAATATCATAATGCAGATCCATAGACCATCCCCATAATCATCGTTGAATAGATCTTCCAATTGTCTTTATTTAATTTCCATGTTTCAACGATATCAGGAAATACGGATGTACTTGATTCATGGTTCATAACCCATAAAAACAATTCATCATATAAGTTCAACAGTGTTTTCAAACTCATCCAAATCACTTATTTAATCCTCATTCATTGAGGTTATTTAGTTCATTTAACAATTATGTCTATTCTTGTTACTTCAGAGTTTTCCAGAGTAATTCAGACGTTTCTGAATTCCAAATACATATTGCATTTCCATTCAGTTAAATTTAGTCATTTACTAGAGTCATTCTAGTATTCGTGGTTGATTTATCTTACAGATATCCATTACTTGCTATCGAATATGCTCTAGCGTTGAGTATCATCAATTTGAACTTTAGGAAACGAACAAGCATTCAAGTGGTTCCTATGCCATTCAAGTATTGATACAGCACTAGCATTAGTTGACCGACTTAAGTTGTGTTTTATAACCTTTAAGAGTAGTACAACATCCATGTTTATTTGAATTTCTTAAATAATCCAAGACATTTACTTAGTCTAGGACATAAAGGTATTTTGGTCTTTTTTATGCTCAGTGATCTTCCATTCATTTCAAAGCTTGAGGATATCCATTCATTCCTGGCTTGGTGATATTCTTTAATCATTTCCATTACAGGGGTATTTTGTTCATCTTACATATCTAGAATATTTCAATCATTTTCTTCCGTCTGGTATTATTATTTAATTCAAACTTATCATTTATGTCAGTCTCTTCAAACTATACTGATAAAATATCACCATCGGTAATTATTATTCTTCATGTACTTACTCAAGTCTGAGATTTCCAAGTTAAATGCCTTCTCAGATGTTACTAACGGATTATCAGGAATTTGATAGGATCTCAATAATCAAATCAGTAATTTATCGGTTTAAAAACAAATTCTCATGTTACTTTCTCATTCAGAGTCAACTTGGACTATTTTTACCTCTCAAGGGCATTTTTGTAATTTCTTAACCAGATAATTTCGGTATTAACTCTTAAATTAAATAATTATACTTTAGAGATCCAATGCTTAATTGCTTTCCTGAACATTCTTTGATCTCGAAATGATTACTTAACAGACTTCTAGTATCTTGCATAAACCCTATTGGGTTAAAACCTGGTTATCCAAATTTTCTAAGCAAACTAGCATTTCTTATGCACATCTATAGTTTTCTCAGATCAATATATCCTTTCAGAGTTATTAGTCAACTTCCAGGGACAATTCTTGTCATCTTACAATATAAGGGTATTTTCATAATTTTACCCTACCAGAATATTCTCATAATTTCCCATCCAAGTACCTTTGATGAAATAATTTATATGTTACTGATCCAAGTTGATTCCTTTATACTAAACACAGAACTTGTAATATTAATTCTAACAATCCATCAATTTCTTATAAAAGTCATATGAACCATAATCAGTTACCGAATTTTTATTGTATTTGGATCTAGTGTAGGAATTAATTAACTACACATATGAGACCAATGTTATCTTATTCATGCATTTACCAATATTCACATGTTCCGAAAAGCATAAAGAGATAGTTTCGTGCCATACTGATCGACCATAAAAATTCCGTTCGAACGTCCTCGATCTTTAATTCAACTTCCAATAATTCCTCAGATACATATAAACATAAATTATATTAAAAAATGGAGCTTAATTACGAAAAATAGATCGAATCGGGAGATAAATCAGTCAAAAACAGCTTACCAGGTTTGAGTTTGGTGAAACAGACCCCCAAAATGGATTCAGAACGTCGAAAACATAAAATATGACTTTTCAAAAATCTTGAATTTTTGGTCAAAATCAAATTCAACTGGTTTGACTGGCAATTTTGAGGCCTTCGGGTCCAAATTTCGAAAAACAGACTGCGTAATCGGATTTGGAACGTCAAAAAATTGTCAGGATAGGTATACTCGGTCGAAGTCAAAGGTCGTTTAATGACCGGTCAAAGCCGGTCAAAGTTCTGGTCAACTGTGGTCAACGCCGGTCAACAGTCGACCATTTTACACAAATATCACCCTAACAGAAATTAATTACCAAATTAGCCACATTCTGTAAATATTTACTAAACTAACACCCGAATTTTACACAAATAGCACCCAAACAGAATTTAATTATAAAATTATCACCCAGATGATGCCCACTATCGGGGGTGGCGCGTGCTACGTGTGAATAATAACCCAGTGTCGAAAAATTCTCGAAAAAAATCCTAAAAATTATTTTAAACAATTTTAAGGCACTTACAAAGCTCGGTTCACAATTTTGAACGGCGGAGAGCTCGATTCTGAAACGTTGGAAACTTTGACGGTCTCACCCCTCCACGCGCCGGCGACGACGGAGAAACGGAGAACATCGGTGAACTCGGAATGATGCAAGGAACACGATGGTGCGGGAGGTGTCGTAAACGGCTGACTGGATCGTCGTGAATCGACGAAAAACCAACTGAAACCGAGTTATTACCGACGATACTTTCTACTGAAATTAACGACGAACGGTGACGATTCAAGATAAAAGGTTTGAGGGGTTTTGTTCCTCAATCGACAACGAACACGATGGTGGTTTTGGTTCATCGATCCGAGGTCAGACGACGAGTAGAACGGAGTTGAAAGAAGGGTTGTAGGGAAGGGAAAACTAGGAATTTTCTACTGAAACACACGAGAAATGGGGGTTTATATTATCTCTAAAAGAAAATTGGGTAAACCATGAGTTTAGTCACTGAACTTCCTGTACTTCTTAAAATGGTCTGCCAACTTTACAATTTTATAATTTAACCCACCGTTTCTTTCAAAATACCAATTAAATCCAATACTTTATAATTTCTAAAATTTAGCCCCTAAATTGGGTTGATACAATTCTCCCCTCCTTAAAAGAATTTCATCCTTGCACTGGTACAATTATTTTAACATGCAATGGTGAGTAATAGAGTGAGCTTCGGAAAGCTTAGTAATACAGAACTACCATATGATGCTACATGACATGCAGATAAATGGGAAGCCATAATTTCCTTATTGAAACAAACGTATACCAATTGCGGAATAATCTGGGGTTCCATTAGTAGTTCATCGAGTATAACCCATGAATCTTAGTTCATAACAAACCTTTCATACTATCACATTTTCATGAGGTCGAATAGGATGTCTAGTATGTTCCATCAGTACGATAAAATCATAATAGGTACACTAATCAAATGATAGTTCAGTAAAATCCCATAAACCATACTGTAGTGGAGCTTTTTAAACTCGTATTTTAAAAACATCTTACAAAGAGTTAACCTAAGGGAACATCTTAGGGCCTGAGAGCCTACCCAAGAAAGTTCGAGGCCACGGGGCCTACCTAAGAACACATCTTAGGGCCATAGGGCCTACCCGAGAATGATCTCAGGGCCGCAGAGCCTACCTAAGAGTCACATTAGGTCCATAAAAATTTTCCAGCTTGATCAAAGTTGTACTTTACAAATCTGTATCTCCAAGATACAATTCATACAATGATACAAATCCATAAGCCATCACCGTTAAGTCGGTGCATCCATAAAACAGTAACCATAGATTTTAGTGTACCACATGTTAAAACAATAAAACAATTTTTCAAAACATAAGGAACACACTAGAGAATCCAAATATTTTTCAGATGCATTTCGTAGTTATCAATATGGATAACATGAACTTGTGCAATTTGATCGGATTCCAGGAATAAGATCTTATTGAAGAATCGATTTCTAACCGATCTAATCAGACATTTCAGATTGATACTTTAGAATTCTACTAAGTTTCCATGTGCATCAGGAAAACGTTCAGGAACCTTTATACATAATAATTCTAAATTCAGATTTACTGCGAGTGATTTCATTACCCAAACAATCAGGGGTATTCAGGAATATACTTTGAATTCATAGGATTTCAGCCCAATTGAACCAAATGAGGAATTCTAAATCTTTTCCTTCTTTGCTACTTGCATTTTCAAACATGACCGAAGTGATTTTAGATGAAAATATAGAATCGAAGATTCAAGTCATCTAAATCTATGACTATCGATCGTATTATCAAATAACTCGAGTTACATAACTCTCAAACTGATGCATGCAAACAAGTCAATTCATTATCCTTCCAGTGTATTCACTCTTTAATACCATAATGCAGATCTATAGACCATCCCCATAATCATCGTTGAATATATCTTCCAACTGTCTTTATTTCATTTCCATGTTTCAACGATATCAGGAAATACGGACGTACTTGATTCATGTTTCATAACCCATAAAAACAATTCATCATGTAAGTTCAACAGTGTTCCAGACTCATCCAAATCACTTATTTAATCCTCATTCATTGAGGTTATTTAGTTCATTTAATATTTCTTTCTATTTTGTTACTTCAGAGTTCCATAGTAATTCAGACGTTTTCTAAATTCAAATATATATTGCATTTCCATTCAGTTCAATTTAGTCATATACTAGAGTCATTCTAGTATCGTGGTTGATTTATCTTACGGATATCCATTACTTTACTATCGAATGCTCTAGCGTTGAGTGAGTATCATCAATTCAAACTTGAGGAAACGAACAAGCATTCAATGGTTCTTATGCCATTCAAGTATTGATATAGCACAAGCATTGGTTGACCTGCTTAAGTTGGTTTTATAACCTTTAAGAGCAGTACAACATCCATGTTTATTTGAATTCTTAAATAATCCAAGATTTACTTAGTCTAGGACATAAGGGTATTTTGGTCCTTTTTATGCTTAGTGATCTTCCATTCATTCAAAGCTGAGGATATCCATTCATTCCTAGCTTGGTGATATTCTTTAATCATTTCCATATAGGGGTATTTGGTCAACTTACAGATCTAGAATATTTCAATCATTTTCTTCCATCTGGTCTTATTATTTAATTCAAACTTATCATTTATGTCAGTCTCTTCGAACTATTCTAACAAAATATCACCATCGGTAAATTATTATTCTTCATGTACTTACTCAAGTCGGAGATTTCCAGGTTAAATGCCTTCTTAGATATTACTGACGGATTATCAGGAATTTTCCATACAAAAATAGGATCTCAATAATCAAATCAGTAATTTATCGGTTTAAAAACAAATTCTCATGTTACTTTCTCATTCAGAGTCAACTTGGACTATTTTTACCTCTGAAGGGCATTTTCATAATTTCTTAACCAGATAATTTCGGTATTAACTCTTAACAAAAATTATTATACTTTAGAGATCCAATGCTTAATTGCTTTCCCGAACATTCTTTGATCTCGAAATGATTCCTTAACAGCCTTCTAGTATCTTGAATAAACCCTATTGGGTTAAAACCCGGGTATCCAAATTTTCTAAGCAAATTAGCATTTCTTATGCACATCTGTAGTTTTCTCAGATCATTATATCCTTTCAGAGTTATTAGTCAACTTCCAGGGATAATTCTTGTCATCTTACAATATAAGGGTATTTTCGTAATTTTACCCTACCAGAATATTCTCAAAATTTCCCATCCAAGTACCTTTGATGAAATAATTTATATGTTACAGATCCAAGCTGATTCCTTTATACTAAACACAGAACTTGTAATATTAATTCTAACAATCCATTAATTTCTTATAAAAGTCGTATGACCATAATCAATTATCAAATTTTTATCGTATTTGGATCTAGTGTAGAAATTAATTAACTACACATATGAGACCAATGTTATCTTATTCATGCATTTACCAATATTCACATGTTCCAAAAAGCATAAAAGGTAGTAAAGTATTACCTCGATTTTTGTGTCATACTGATCGACCATACAAATTCCATTCGAACGCCCTCGATCTTTAATTCAACTTCCAATAATTCCTCAGATACATATTAACATAAATTATATAAAAACGGAGCTTATTGTGAAAAACATATCGAATCGGGTGATAAATCAGTCAAAAACAGCTTATCGGGTTCGAGTTTGTGAAACGGACCCCAAAAACAGATTCAAAACGTCAAAAACATAAAATATGACTTTTAAAAATCTTGAATTTTCGATCAAAGTCAAAGTCAATGGGTTTGACTGGCAATTTTGAGGCCTTCGGGTTCGAATTTCGAAAAACGGACTGCAGAATCAGATTTGAAACGTCGAAAAATGTCATGATAGGTATACTCGGTCGAAGTCAAAAGTCGTTTAATGCCCGGTCAAAGCCGGTCAAAGTTCTGGTCAACTGTGGTCAACGTCGGTCAACGGTCAACAGTCGACCATTTTACACAAATATCACCCTAACAGAAATTAATTACCAAATTAGCCACATTCTGCAAATATTTACTAAACTAACACCCGAATTTTACATAAATAGCACCCAAACAGAATTTAATTACAAAATTATCACCCAGACGATGCCCACTCTCGGGGGGTGGCGCATGCTGCGCGTGAACAGTAACCCAGTGTCGGAAAATTCCTAAAAATTATTTTAAATGATTTTAAGGAACTTACAAAGCTCGGTTCACAATTTTGAACGGCGGAGAGCTCGATTCCGAAACGTTGGAAACTTTGACGGTCTCACCCCTTCATGCGCCAACGACGACGGAGAAACGGAGAGCACCGGTGGACTCAGAACTATGCAAGGAACACAATGGTGCGGGAGGTGTCGTAAACGGATGACCGGATCGTCGTGAATCGACGAAAAACCAACTGAAACCTAGTTATTACCGACGATACTTCCGACTGAAATTAACGACGAACAGTGACGATTCACGACGAAAGGTTTGAGGGGTTTTGTTCCTCGATCGACAACGAACACGATGGTGGTTTCAGTTTGTCGATCCGAGGTTAGACGGCGAGTAGATCAGAGTTGAAATGAGGGTTTAAGGGAAGGGAAAACTGGGAATTTTTTACTGAAACACACGGGAAATGGGGGTTTATATTATCTCTAAAAGAAAAATGGGTAAACCATGAGTTTAGTCACTGAACTTCCTACACTTCTTAAAATGGTCTGCCAACTTTACAATTTTATAATTTAATCCACCGTTTCTTTCAAAATACCAATTAAATCCAATACTTTATAATTTCTAAAATTTAACCCCTAAATTGTGTTGTTACAGTTTAGGCGTTAGCTTGTTCATAAACAGCCATTTGGAAACAAGCACATCTTTGGGGTCCCTGTATATGTAAACCAACCTGCAGCTTCGATCATCTGTCATAGAATTGGGTAACAAACCGAAAGGGAGATGGGTTGCGAGGAGACGTGGTGAGGGAAATGCATCGAGTTCGTGTAAAGACCTATCATTTCCGTCTACGTAAGTATCCAAGAAAGGGAAGCAATCGTGAGGGCCTGTGTTGAGCAGAGGGTGGTCGGAGGAACCATAGCGAGAGCGGTTGACGGTGGCAAAAATGAGTGCCTTGAGCCAAGTGGTGCCGGTTTTCGGGGACGTGGCTAGGAAAATATCGGAGGGTCGAGGCTTGAAGTGGTATTGGATCCACATTAAAGTTTTCAAACCCATTGTAGGGGTTAACCAAAATCCTTGGTATTGAACCAGATGTTCAGTCATCCAGCCTTTTGCTTTGGGAAGCTTGAGGAGTGTTTCTTCATATCTTTCATTGGAATTTGAATGTTGCTGGTCACACAGTGGAGAGTAGAGAAGCAGCCATGGAGGAACAAGTAAAGGGTGAAAAAAAGGTTCAAATGTTTTTATAACATATGGATCTATAAATAGCCTTATAGATTAAAGAGAAGGGTAAATTAATCCATGTGATTTTTAGTGAGCGAAATTATTTGCTTATAAATAACAATTTTTATAGATAATATAATGTATGACTATTGACAATGAAAACATATTCCACAAGTGAAATAAAAAACTTTTTATATTTATCATTTTTTATACTTAGTATAATTTTCGAAGTAAAAAGAAGAGTATCCCCATCATGCTAAAGTTGTTATTTGAAGAGCAGACAAAGGCATTTGTTCGAACGCACATCCAAAATCCTTGGTATCGAACCAGATGTTCAGTCATCCAGCCTTTTGCTTTGGGAAGCTTGAGGAGTGTTTCTTCATATCTTTCATTGGAATTTGAATGTTGCTGGTCACACAGTGGAGAGTAGAGAAGCAACCATGGAGGAACAAGTAAAGGGTGAAAAAAAGGTTCAAATGTTTTTATAACATATGGATCTATAAATAGCCTTATAGATTATAGAGAAAGGGTAAATTAATCCATGTGATTTTAGTGAGCGAAATTATTTGCTTATAAATAACAATTTTTATAGATAATTATAATGTATTGACTATTGACAATGAAAACATATTCCACAAGTGAAACAAAAACTTTTTTATATTTATCATTTTTTTATACTTTAGTATAATTTTCGAAGTAAAAGAATAGTATCCCACATCATGCTAAAGTTGTTATTTGAAGAGCAGACAAAGGCATTTGTTCGAACGCACATTTTGATGATCACCTAAAGGATTTTAACGTTTGAGAAGTCTCACAATCAATTGCATTTAATATGATTACAATTAGGGATGATAATGTGTTGGATCGGGTTGGATTTTCAGTCAATTTGACTTAATATTATCCAATCTAATCCAAAAATATATATCCTCACCCAAAATTTGACTCGACCCGAGTTTAAGGATGGTTTTACTCGATTCGAACCCAATCTAATTTTTAAGACAAAAATTGAACTTGACCCAACCCGACTCAAAATAAATATATTTATAAAAAATATTATTTTTATTCAATAAAAATAAGGATCTAATTGAAAAAAAAAAAATATAAAGGATTATTATTGTAATTATCCCTAAATATATAAAGTAAATTTAAATTAATTTTGGGTCAATTCGGGTGGAGTATTTTTCACCATAAATTCGAACTCGACCTGACCCAAACATATTATTTTAGAAAAACTTGACCTAATTCCCCATTTTTTTTAAAAACCTGACCCGATTGAATCATATCAAGTCGAAATTTATCGACTTCGATTCTTATACCCATTCCTACTCCCGACATTTATAGTATTTTAAAAAGACTCGTACCATTGGAGATCGACTGTCTTAACATTTCTTTTTTTGTCGACATAATAATGTCTCAATCACATTCTCGTTCATCCTTAAATAATTAATTTCCTTTTTTACGAGTAAATAAATTATTATTTAAATTATAATTTTACCCATTCAATATATGAATCACTAATTTGAGACATCAATGTATTCCGGGTGAACTTAAAAATATCTAATTAATAATCGAGTAATGAGCTTGAGTAAGAGGTACATATTTACAATTTTTATACTAATATCGTAATAATTACAAATTCGTTTATTAGTTTGTTGATACTAATAAAATATTTTCTTTAATATTAGTGAGTGTCATATTGTAATCAAGAATATATGACTTGTATCGCTTATGACATACGGTAACAGTCCTCATTTTTTATGCGATTGTTGAGGTACATGCGATTGATTGTATGTTACATCTAGAGATAGTGATGGGTTATATTAGGATCAATTTTTTAATTAATTCGATCCGATACGAAAATTATATATCCTTCATCAGATCCGACCTAAAAGTATATATTATTCATCTGATTTCGACCTGATCCAATTTTTTAGAGTATAAATAATATACAACCTGACATAAAATAAGGACTTAATTAAATAATAATAAAATTTTAATGAAATTACATTACTATCCCTGGGTCGGGTTGGGTCGAATTTTTTTCACCCTCCTCCTGAACCCAAATTTTTTTATAAAATAATCCAACCCTATCGGATTGAGTCAGGTCAAAACTCATCAATTTCATGTCAACCAATTCATGCCTAAAATAACTTCAAATTCGTCGAAAGGAAATTCCATCAGTTTTTCGGGAAAGCAACCCCTGAATCTTTATTGGGTATTTTCATACCCGAGTTACCCTCACACTATGATCCATAGGGTTTACCGCTATCATCTCACTAAAGATTGGTTATAAAGGAATTCCTCTAACTTTAATCAACTTTGTACTAATATAAGAGTGTGTAGAACTAGTGTCAACCAAAAAAATACATGTTCATCAAAAAGATGGAATGCATTAAACAAATCGATTGATAACCATACACAAAGTATGTTGAAATGTACATATAAATCTCAATGCACATACAATGGGCCTTTAAGTCAAATTTGCAATTTAACATTATTTCTGAAACATTGATAGTTGTTAAAACAATATAAAAGTTCATCCATTCATTTTAGAGCATTTTATTCTAAATTATTCGTAAAATCATTTCCATAAACATTATGAAAATATATCAAAATACTGTAAAACATACTTTATCAAAATATTCGAGGTTGACTCATCGCAAGTCATCCCATCATATAAGTATATAATAATACACTCACTATAAACCTTAATGATGTCCGACTATTCTGCTACTTTATCCTTGCCTTTCTGTTTGCTTGACTCAAGAGTTGGTTATGATCTACACATGCATCCATAATCACACATACAATACAAATGTTAGTATACTCTCTAACATTTATACAAAATAATAATACTCAAAAGTACTATTATTTTCGAATTCTGTTAAAATTCATCCTAACTTAAAATTTCAGACTGAATAGTATCGGTACCTCTCCTATAGTATCGATACTTCTCTTCTATGGTACCGATACCCACTTCGGTATCGATATCATTCTAGTATTATGGAATTTCATTTTTGATTACGATATCGATACCTTCCTCTTGGTATCGATACCTACACATCAGTATTGATACTTCTTTAAATCGGTATTGATATTGTTCATCAGAATCCTCAAATTTAACCTTATAGTATCGGTACTGTTCTTCCAGTACTGATACTCTTACCCAAATTTACTTATTTCACTTCGATTTTTACCCAAATTTCATCTAAATCTCTTACTTATCTTCAACCATACTATTAAACTCATTGTCACTTATCCAAAACTTACATCCATAAATCTCCTTAATACCATCCAAATCTCCAAGAACACTTAAAACTAAGAATCACCCCAAATTTCGAACATGTTTCAATCACTTTTATGGCTCCAACTCACTTATTTACTTCTTTGACAAGTCAAAAATGCTTTTAAACTCCAATAACTTAGAATATTTCAACATCTCCCACTCCTTGTAAAGTGACCAACCTCGTTCATTATCTCCATCGTCGGCTTTTTTTCTATAGTAGTTTTGATATTTTCAACTATTTCAACCTTTTAGTATATGATCCCTCTGATATGGATACACTAGTAGAATAATTCCAAGAAACTTTTCTTTGTTTTTGAAGGGAAATGATGAAGGAGCATTTATTACCAACATCGGGGCTTCTGACACCGGATTCACTGTTCTAGGTCTAACAGTAATGACTATTGGTTTACCTACCCCATAATAACCCTGGAGCTCTTATATGTATAAATGTTAACCTTTTTCTTCCTTCATCTTTATCGAAGAACTATATTTCCTTATTATCCATTAAACCTGAATCAAGCCTTTAAATTCATAACAAGACTGAATCTCATACCCCTCTTCCTAATGGTACTCACAATACAACCCATAATCAATGTGCCTTGGTTTAGGATCATAGTTAATCATATCAACCTTGCATAACTGCTTAAAGACCTAACTGAGAGGAGATTTTATTTTAGAGACATCATTCTTCAATCTCCTACTATTATCGTCACAAAACATATCCAATCATTGCCCTCCATGATTTGGTAGCGGATGAGTATTTATAGGGGCATATTAAACTCCAAGTTATTGGTATTCATCAAGCTTTGCACTGCCTTTTTAAAGGCTAGGCAATTTTTAATGTCATGCCCTGGGATGCCAATGTGATAAGCATAATGTGCATTTGCATCGTACCAACGAGGATACAAAGGTTAGATGGGAGTTAGGTGATATGGTCATACCATGTTTTATTGTAGCAATGAGGCATATATTTCAGCATATGGGACTGTCACATGTGTGAAAGTCAGTCTCGTAGTTTCTCTCTTAAATCTTCTTTTCTCTTTTGCATAAGCTCTCTAAGTTCTAGGCTGAGTGATTGTAATGCTCTTTGAAGCATTTTTTATTGTACGTGCTTACGTTGCTCACTTCATTCTCTTTCTTCTTATAAACATGCTTTTCAGATGTGGATCCATATCCTCCTTCGATTTTGCTACTTCTGATAGCATTGTCAATTAACTCCCCATAAATAACCAAGTCAGCAAAATTATTGGTCGTATTTCCTAGAAAATGTCCATTGTATGAGGCCCTCAGAGTGTTAACAAAATCACAGTAGCCTCTTTCTCTAAAAGAGGCAGTTGCACCTAGCAGCTACATCACGCCACCTTTGGGCATGTTGTCTGAATGATTCATTATGTTTCTTTTCCATATTTTAGAGAGTCCACCTATCAGGAACTAAATTGGTAACATAAATATATTGCTCCAGAAATGCTTTAGCCAAATCTATTCAAGATTTAATGTGATTTTCAGTCAATTGATTGTATCACTTGGTCGTAAATCCAAACAAACT